TTTTTTTTTTTTTTTTTTTTTTTTTTTTTTTTTTTTTTTTTTTTGCAATGCTGGAGATCCAGAACCATATCCATGCTAAGCATGCACTCTACTGGAGCTATACCTCCAGTTCCTAGAGATGGATAATTTTGATTCATAAAAGAAAAAGCATATATACAGATAGATGTTGACAAGACCATAAAAAATCTCCAAAGATTAATGAATGTATTTGGGAATAACATTGCAATTGGAATACCTGTGCCATAGTAAACTATTTGCATATTCAAGAAAGTTGGGGCAAAGAGAACTTTTTAAAGACAAAATGAGAAGGAGTAGATAAGTTATTTTGAAATAATAATCAGTAGTTACAAGGATCAGTAACAACAGTGGCATCCATCCAAAGTTGGACAGACATCCTTACATAATATTTTCTGTGTAAGGTTGTGGTGGCCTTTGTGTAAGATAGTGGTTCTAGCTGGCTTTTGTGATAGTTCTTGTTTTAGGCACATGTACATGAAAAGTCCTCCTTCATAAACTCCCAGCTTTGTTTTTTCTTCTTGTTGTTGTTAGTCTGACTAAAATGACTCCATTTTGATTCTGAAAACTTTCACAATATGTAGGATATTTTGTAAGATTAATTATTTGACACTTACTAACTTTAGGATTATAGAGGAAGCTTCTACAACTTATCAAAAGAGTCATGTGCATCTTTCATGTGTATAGCYAAATAACTTTTGAAGTGCTCTTCACTTTCTCACATCCTTGAAAAAATCCTTACAATTCTAATAATATTTAAGTGCCTACTATGTACCAAGTACTATTCCAAGAACTAGAGATACAGTAGTGAATTAAATAAAGTCCCTATCCCTGCTGTAATGGAACTTACATTCTCATAGGAGGACGTAGACAATACACAAATATATGTTATTGTAGTTAGTACTAAAACAATAAATGAAGGAAGAAAGGAAAGGATTGCCCTTTTTCTCCTTCACTTTTGTTAATCTTCAGCTATTTTTTAACCCATTAGTGTATTGTAGTTGTACATAATGGTGGAATTTGTTGTTAACTATTCCTACATGCACACAATACTACAATATGATTTGGCTAATATCTTTCACCAGTATTTCCCCTTTCCTTCCCTTCCTCCTTCCCTGTGTTTCCTTTCCTCCAGGCTATAATCTCCTTTTGATTTTCATGAGACACCTGCCCACACCCACATTTGTTTTCCTTTTTTATMTCTAGCTTCCACATATGAGAGAAAACATACAACCTTCTGAGCTTGGCTAATTTTGCTTAACATAAGGGTCTCTAGTTCCACCCATTTTCCAGCAAATGACAAAATTTCATTCTTATTTATGGCTGAAGAAAAACTCCATTGTGTATATATACCATATTTACTTTATTCATTCATTCATGGACACTTTGGCTGGTTCCATAGTTTGGCTGTTATGAATAGTGCTG